TAAACATTTTTGCGCTTTGACAATAATATACATATTATTTAATACGAATTGTGCCTTTAGTTGATACGTGGTTTAGGTATAAATAATTTTTTTATGAACGATAGTATTATTGTATGGCATTTGGCTGAAGAGTTTTTTTTACAAGTACGTTAAGTGTAAATTACATTTTTTTTTTTTTATTCTGATTAGGTATACATCATAATGAATAACTCCTCAATGAGATCCGGAAGCAATGACAATTTTGAAGTTTCAGACGTTGTAAGCAAAAAACGTAAGCTTGATGACTTAGTTGACGGTTCAATTGTCAAAGTAGTTTTAAAGAATTTCATGTGAGTTGGTTTACATCCTCAAAACCTGTAAAAATATTAATTAATTTATGATTTTATAAATAATTATCACACTTATGTTCTTCAGTTAATAGGTAGCAATTACACTTCTAACTTTTCATTATTATAAGTGGAAATTATTTGTAATAATCTCATGCAGTTTAAATTTTATATACCTGCCAATTAATTGGGTTGGGTTGGAACACTACTGGTTTTTATGCAGTGCACCAATACTAAAGTTTATACCCCCCAAAAAGTAGCTCGTCTATTGCTACCATTTTTTAAATATAGTGGGTTTCTTTTAATGCTACATTTTGTTTAAATGTAACTCGCTACTTTTTTACCTATTAAAAATTGGTAGTTTGTATTTAGTACTGATTTTGGTCACTGGATGGGGTTTGAATACTCACATGAGTTGATTGTGGATTAAACCCAAAAAATTCAATATTGCACATACCATCATTAATTAATATGAACAAATTCAATAGTTACAATATTTTAATCATCATCAAATCTGTTGTAGGTAGCGGCAAAATATTATTAATTTTAAGTAAGCTTACCATAGTATTTTGCTCCATTAGGAGACGGTGTATTGTAGCGATGCTACATTATTGCTACAATGAAAGTAGTGTTGCTACAGCCTACAATTAGCTTGATGCTTCCAACTGCTGATATCTACTTACTGTTTATTGTATATGAATATAAATATAATAATACAATTTTATATTTTTTTTTTGTTGTTAAATGTTGTAATATATGTAGTTAGGTACTTTATCTAACTTGGTTCGTACTACTATGTATAGTTAAAAGTTTAAAACATTTAAAGTTTTTTTAAAAATTAGGTTCCTAATAAGCCATTTTACAAATATGATATCAATTTTGCAGGACATTTACTGAAGTTACATATACTCCACATTCAAAATTGAATTTAATAATTGGGCCTAATGGATCTGGAAAATCGTCAATTGTTACAGCTCTCATATTAGGATTTGGTGGTAATCCTAAGGACATTAATAGAGGAGACAAAGTTAGTTTAATTTTAGTTACAACTTAAAGTATTACTAAGTAATTTTTTTACTCATGTATCTCACATCAATGAATAACATATGCGTTGCGGGATATGAGGGAATTTGGGCATGTACTGGCTTCCCTTGTATATACTTTTCTCTATAAATTGAATATAAACATAACTGTAGTCCTTTGTTATGATATTAATTGTAGAATGATAAAAAAACAATATTAGATTTGCTAGAACATTTTAGCATTTACCTGTTATATATCAGTCAGTTATAACTATCGTAATTTTTATCAAAAAAATGTGTTAATTTAGATGCAGACAATTTTTAAAATACATTAAATATGGCCTATAGAATAAACCTAGAATATACCTATAGAATGTACTATGATCTATCTATCTACTATATATATATATATATATATAAGAATCTAACTTGATTTTGGAGACGAAGGAAACCGGTTTTGTACCCTCATTATAATAATAATAATAATTAACTAATCACCAATTATTTTCATGTATTCACCGATAACGATGTCTGTTTCTTTTTTTTTATTTTATAATCGTTTTATTATTTGTATAGCCAGAAAATAGTCTTATGTTTTTAAATTAAATTATAAAAAAATAATTTCTTCTGGAGGAAGATCGGGCAGCTAGTTATAGTATAAAATATAATCGATGTTGGGGCTATCTTCTACTACCCTCATTAAATGTCTTTAATATAAATACCTATAGTTAGTTATACTATTTTCATTTGTTGCACTGTCAATCTAAATCAACCTAATTGATTTAATAGTTTATTCATAAATATTTAGTTTTGATAACTTTATGATATATTCTCCATTCAATTAAATTATTTTTGACTGGTTAATGAAAAATATTTGTCAAAGTAGGTACATGATTTCTATCTAAATATTAAAATATGCACTCCATCAAAGTACATACTTCAAATCAAAAATATGCCGTAAAAGATAAAAAAACATCAATAAAAATGCGAAAAAAAATCATTATTTTATCAACAAAGAAAAAATGAACTAATATTAACAAAATGTATTGTTAAACTCTATATATTTAAATTGAGAATTCTATCATTATATTAAATTATTATACGTAAACTATTTAGGTCAGTCAATTTGTAAAACTAGGTAAATCCGTAGCTGATATTTCCATAGAACTTTACAAGAGATCGAATCAAAATATGAATTTGAGAAGAACAATATTTGCCAGCGATGATGCTTGTCACTATTATGTTAACAGTATCTTAGTCTCAAAAAAAAAAGTAATTATTAAATAATATTGTACAATTTTAGTTAGATGATCATTATTTTTTTTTATGTTTATAGTACTCTGCTGTTGTTGAAAGTTTTAACATAAAAGTGCATAATCTATGTCAGTTCTTACCACAAGACAGACTTGAAGATTTTTCTAAATTAGATTCTAAAGGCCTATTAATAAATGCTTTGCAAAGTATTGGTAAGTTTATAACTGTTTCACGAAGGGCTCTTATTAGTACTTATTGTATATTGTATTATTGTAGAAAATCAAGACTTATTGAATAATTTTGAAAAGTTAAAAACTCTTGCTGTTAGCATAACTACATATGATAGTGATCAAAAGAAATTACAAGATAATGTCAGATCAGAGATTGCTGTAAATTTAAAGTAAGCTTTTATTTTTTCGGGTTATTGAAAACAATAAACAAACTGTCTTCGTCTAACAAACACGCAATACAGAAATTTAGATTTATTCTTTTAGCAGTGTATTAATAATTAATGTAGTAAAGCCTATGCAAGCAGTAAACGCACACAACTCATGCATTTTAATGACTGACTGGTTTGGTTCCATCGCTCAATGGTTAACACTCAATGATCGTAGCCGCCAACTAAGACACCTACTGACCTCTAAACATATTCATCTGAATAACAAGCTCCTTATTTACAAAATGCTACTTAAACCAATATGGGTCTATGGTATACAGCTCTGGGGATCAGCAAAACCTACCAACATCAATAGAATACAAACCTATCAATCCAAAACTCTAAGACAAATCACTAAAGCACCATACTACGTTTCCAATCACACACTCCATCACTATCTTTCCATACCCTTTGTAGCAGACGTGGCTAAAACACACTACAAAAGATTCCATAACCGTATTTTAAATCATAGAAACCTACTTATGTACGACATCTCTTCCTTGACTATCCCAGGTAATCCTCCCAAACGGCCAAAACGCAAATGGTGTAGAAACCTACTGAATAATTAAATTTTGGTACTCATGGCTTTTTTTTTGTTAATGTAGTACCTCCACTGGGAGGCTTCTACGCTCTGTTATATACTTATATCTAGATTGTTATTTTATTTTTATTTTTTTTTCTTCTACTTTCCAATTTCATCAATTGTTCTTATTGTTCTTTTTGTAACAGATTTAATAAAACATTTATAAACAAAAAAAAATAAAAATATTATCTTAAAATTTTTTATTTTTAGACTTGAAACAATTGTTAGTTCATTCACAGAAAAAAAATCATTGGAAGAACAATTATTGGTTGTGTTACAGAAAAGATGTTGGTCCTTGTATATGTTGGCTTGGCAACAGATTTCTATGGTATGAATTTATTGTATATTTATGGTACAAAATACTGCAGGCATGTCAAGTATTAACTGGGCCAAATATATTGAATTCTTTACTATGCGAGCCATAAAAATTTATTGATAAAAAATTTTTTTACTAATTTTTTATTTTGTTCATTTCGTATTCAATTAAAGTTTATTAGAAAGATAAGACAGAAAAATAACATAATGTTTACCTCTCTAACATAATCATGTAAACTTCTTCTGAGGAATAATCCTAAAAATCAAGTCACCAGACCGGCAATTGAACTCAGGTCTGTTGCTTGCCGGGTGATTGCTCTACCATGAGCTACCCGACAGCACAAACCCAAGATGCTATCTCCCCCAGTTAATGAATGTTTACGGTTCTGATATTAAAAGAAAATTATATAATTTTTACTATTAATTATCCATTAACAATGTAGTTGCAGCAATACACAAATAAGCCGGGGACTTTGACATGCCTGCAATACAGCGAATAGTATTGAGGCCCTCATTTAGAATTTCATTGTTATTATAAAATATTTTATCTTTGTATACAACTACTAAAATCTCACAATAGAGTTCAAATAATGTTCAATTGCCCCAAATATGCTGAATCTCGCAAAATTCTTAACAACTTTTTGTCAATACATCAAGCCCACACGAAGAGGACATTGTACATTTTTTCATACCATCATTCTAAAACATAAACTGTAAATCTTAACAAACATTGTAGTAAAGACATAATGTATCCTAATATTTTCTGGTTATGAAGTTCATGTAGGCTAAAAACCTTTTTATTTGAAGTTTATTTACCATAAAATCTTGAAATTGCATAATTTTAATCTATATTTTTATATTTGAAGTTAACATTGATTTCAGCAGTAGCAAAATATAATAATGTGTATTATAATATACAATAGAACCTCGATTATCCTTGACTCGATTATCCGTGTTTGCGATTAACCGTGCTCACTCTTCCAAAAATTATATAATTTATTTATAATCGAACATTTTATATTACATAATATACGATATCGACAATTATATTAATGACATTTTTGACGATAATAATATGAAGATAAGCAATATTGTACATCGATTATTATATTTATCGAATCACCTTCAGTTTGCTTTTTTCCTTCGCTATCGCCGAACGTAACGTGTGGTATAACGTATTAATCTAATAATGAGTGCTAAACAAAAACGTGTCGTTCTTTCTCTTGAGAAAAAAGTGTTGATTATTAACCGGGCTGTAGATCAAGGTGAAAGTGTTCAAAAACTTGCAAATTAATTCGGCGTGGGTCAACAGACAGTTCGTGACTTGGTCAAACAAAAAAAAGGAAATTTTCAAGTTCATATCTTGTGCAGAGGTATCAGCTAAGAAGAGAAAAACTATGAAAAAGTCATCTTTATCTGACATGGAATCTGCTCTTTTTGAATGGTTTAAACAGAAGCGTATTGAAGGTATACTGATTTCAGGGCCAATGGTTTGTGAAAAAGCAAAATGGTTTTATGAACATCTGAAAATTGAGGAAACATTTAATGCTTCACAAGGCTGGTTATTTAGGTTCAAAACTCGCCATGGCATAAGACAACTGGACATTCAAGGCGAAAGCCTGAGTGGAGATTTGACTGCTGCAGCACTATTCAATGACGAATTCAATTCATTCCTTTCAAAATTGAACTTGTCCCCTGACCAAGTGTACAACGCAGATGAATCAGGTCTATTCTGGAAAATGCTACCTTTGAAAACACTTGCTGCGCAATCTGAAAAATCAGCTCCTGGACATAAATCTAGTAAAGAACGACTTACTATTATGACTTGTTCAAATACGACCGGTTCACATAAGATCAAATTAACTGTTATTGGGAAAGCTAAGAAACCAAGATATTTTAAAGGGATAGAAATGAAATATTTACCATGTAACTATTACCACCATCCAAAAGCTTGGATGAACCAGGTTATTTTTAGTGAATGGTTTTTTAAAGTTTTCCATCTGTAGAAAAATTTCAGAATGAAAAAGGAATACCATAAAGAGCTGTTCTTCTACTTGATAATGCTCCTTCACACCCCTCAGAATCTACCCTGAAAACCCCGTATGGTCAAATTTTTGTCTACTATAGTATTATCTACCACCTAACGTAACTTTCATAATACAACCAATGGATCAAGAAAGGATTTCCTGTTTGAAACGAAGGTACAAAAATTTTTTCTCCGTTATCTTTTGCAAGAAGATTGTTTTGATTCGATGAAAGAACTTTTGAAAACGTGGACCATAAAAGATGCCATTTTTGCAGTATGTAATGCTTGGGAAAATGTACCTGCAACTACGTTAAGGCTTTCTTGGGCAAAAATTTTGGATCAAGACTATGATGACGAAGAAAGTATTGAAGATAAGGTCGATAAGGATATAAAAGCTTGTCTTGATCTAGCTACATCTATTCCAGATTTCACTAATGTTGATGAAGACGAAGACGATATTGTTGATTAGCTACAAAAATATCTTAACGAAGAGGGATTTGAGCGTTTGAGTGACAGTGACATAGCAGTTCGTTATGGCAGCTTAACTACACCATCTACCTCACAACAGCCTGATTCTTCTTCTGAGAGTGATAATGAAGAACATTTTGAAAAAATACAGACAAGCCAAGCAATGGAAGCAGTTGATGTCCTCTTGAACTTCTGCGAACAGGAAAATTTTGACTTCTATGACGTTATTGGCTTAAGAAAAATTAGAAGTGAAGTAAGGAAAATTATTTCAAACCAAAAAAAACAAAGACTGATTCATATTTTAAGCCCTAATAACTTGTTGTATAAAATTATTGTATGTATATTATGTATATTTCTAATTATAATTGAATCAAATTTTTAAAATTTCATTATTATAAAATTGTACCTATGTATTTCTAATTAAAATTAAATAAAAAATTTCATTATTATAAAAAGTCTTGATTAACCGTGATTTTCATTTATCCGTGTGACCCCCTCCCTATCACTACCCCGGATAATCGAGGTTCCACTGTACATCAATTAATTATTATCAACGATACATATCTTACCTTGATATTCTAATTATTATAATATATTGTATTATGTATATTTATTATTATTTTTTAATAACCGTGTGTCATTTGTAGACTTATAAAAGTAATAGATAAATTGATGGTCTTTGGCAGGATTATCTAAGTGTTAACATTGTTAGGTCTGTCATAATACTAAAAATATAAAAAGTGTGTCACCTATTATCTGATGTACTAAAAAATATTCATCTAGTATGAATCATTTTATTATTTTTAATGAATATGAACTAATACTTCTATTAAAAGTGAATAAATTGTGATTATGCTAATCCTCATACTATTTTTACATAGGAAAGAAAAAAATTTGAAGAGTCAACAAAACATAATAAGGATGCCTTAAGTCTTATTAATAAGCAAAGAGATATAATTAAAAGGAAACAATCTGGGGAAATTAGTCTGAAAAATGTGGTTCTTCAGAATGTAATGATTTGTTGATTAAATCTAGCCTTAAAATATTTTGGATGATCTATGAAAATGTATGTTTGGTTTAGGCAAATGCAGTAAGTAAGTTAATTGAAAACCTTAATAATTTGGTTGAAGCTGCCAAATGTCATGTATCTGATATGAATGAATTGAAAAAAAATGCTAAAAAAGCTTCAATAAAAATTGAAGAACTTACAGAGTCTATATCATCTATGGAAGAGAAGTTACAAAGTATAAAAAATGAAACATTAAATGTTGAAGGTAAAATAAAAATCTTAAATATTTTAGGGTTGTTGATACTAAAATGTGTAAATTATATCTTTTTCAGAATGTAAACTGGAACTTATCGAAATAAATAAAAATATCCAAAGTATCGATGCAAATATTTACCCTGTGAGAAACAATTTAGAGAATATCAAAAACAAACTGAGAGGTCTAACTGAAAAAATGTGTGGTAAGTATTTTCATGCTTTTTAAGTAAAAATAAGATGTTATTTTAGTTTCATATATTAGTTGTTAACTTTATTTAATTTTTATTGAACTCTCTGTATTTTATATGAAGCCATTGATCAAGAACTTGAACTTGAAAAAAGAAAAGATGAAAACAAAACTCAATTATTACAGAGAAAGTTTCCAGAAATGTGGAAAGCAGTAAAATGGCTAAGAAACTGCAACAAGTCAGCAATTTTTCAAGGACAAGTATTTGAACCATTATTCACTCAGGTATTTTGAATTAATAAACTATTTCTTAAGTATTTAATTTTTAAAATTTTAATATTATATGTTGGGAAAATTTTTAATAATTATAGATTGAAGTACTTGACCAAAAAAATGCCAAGTACATAGAAAACATTGTTAATTATCGTGATTTGATTGCATTTGTTTTTGAGTATGCAGAAGATCTGACTACATTTAATAAAATAGCACAACAAGAGCGTTGGATGAAAATTAATTCAATCTCAGCTCCTCCTGCCAATTTTAAAATTAATGAGATACCAAATTATGATATAAATAGTTTAAGGTAAGCAATCAAAATGCTTAGTAAAAGACTGATGGATGTAAATAAAATGTTTTTGTTAAAATAGTGTTGCCAACTCTGTAAACTTATATATTAAATAATATTCATACACTAAATGAAAACATGCACTCTAATGGCTAAGATAATATCAAAAAAAAAAAAATATGTTTTTCCTATTTTAGAGTATGAATTTTATTTTACATCCATATAACACTTCCAATTAGCAAAATATTATGTTGAATGAAAAATTGTTGAGAACCAAATAAATTAAGTTCTATTTACTGAATTCCTATAAAAACACTTTTTTTGGTTGCTCATTCTACACTATAGAAATAATATAGAAGTTTCACTTTATTTTGTTATTTAATCAAACATTTTGGTCTGATGATTTTATTTATGTACAAATTGAAGTCATTAATATTTTTATTTTTAAAACAGAAAATTTGGCTTCCATACTTATGCATTAGACATGATACGAGTACCACCTGTCATTAGAAGATGTCTAGCTAGAAGTTACGACATGCATAATATACCTATTGGTTCCAAGGAAGTTTTTAATCATATGCAAAATTTACCCAAAAATATTGGGTTCTTTTTTGCAGGTAATTCTAAAAAATTTAAATCAAGAGTATTTATTAGGATATTGATATTTGATGTGACTTTATTTTATATACAGGTAATGATCAAGTCAATATAAAAACTTCAAACTATACAGGAGAAAAAATCACACGACAAACACAAATATCAAATGAGGCACAATTTTTGCTGTTTTCTGTAGACTCAAATTTGATTCAATCTCTGACAACCAAGTAAACTATTATTAGACGTGATATGATATTAGATGTGTTATGCTCAGAAGTTGATAACGTTTTCATTTATTTTTGTTATGTCTTCAACAATACAACATTCTTAGTTCAAGCAAGTTAATAAAAGAAATAGAAATGAAATGATAAAATGTCAATAACATGTAAATCTAAATACGTACCTAATTCTGTTTTTCATTTTTTGACATTTAAAAGTATTTTTGTTGGTAATTTCAATTCTTTTTTAGCCAATAATTTAAAGTTAACCAGAATATCTTTTCTATGAATTATATTGTGTTTTGCAATTAAAACCGTCATTTGACAAAACTATTTGTATTGTGTAAACATAATAAATATATATTAATACACTTTTTTCATAAAAATATGACAATACTATTAATTTGGTTGTATATTATAACTATTTGATGTAGAAAAATAATGAGGAAAAAAGCGGGGAAATGGATGTTAATCTGCTGTACAGTAGGTTATAAGTGGGTTACTGTAACGATGGTGTTAAATTTGAATTCAATGAAATAAAATCATTGTATACGAAAAACAATCCTCTCCGAAGACAGTCCGTCAGCCTATAATATTACTTAGCAATTTAGTATATTTTATGATATTATTGTAATTAAAGTTGTTTATTTTACAATTAAGAGGACGCTACACCCGCATGGGTTGTCTCCGTCTTACAAATGTACAACATATCAAAAACTATTTTGCGCAAAATAGAACCACTCAAGCTGTAGTCCAAGCTAAGCAACCAAATTTTCATGTTATAAACAAGAGAATATTTACTGTGCAACATAGTTTTTATTTTTTCGATATCACAATTACAAGTAATTATTCACAATTACAATTATAATTACTTATTTATGAGCAATAAAAACTTTTCTTGTGTTTGTGATTGAAAAAAAAAAAATGATGTTGCACAGTAAATGTTTTCTGGTTTATAGTGTGAAAATTAGGTTGCTTAGCTTGGATTACAGCTTGAGTGGTTCTATTTCGCTCAAAACAGTTTTTGGTATGTTCTACGTTGGTAAGACAGAGACAACACATGCGGGTGTTGCGTCCTCTTAAGCATTAGTACTACAGTAGGTTAACTTCATTTTTGCCAGCCAAATTACATTTGAAAAGTCCTTGTTATAAAAGTTTCAAGTGCACACAAAAAATTAAATTTTTAAATGACAACAAAATAACTTAAATTCTTCTTCTTGCTTATTTAATATGTAAGTTTACCCAAATTTGAACATAAAGTAACTATAAGAAAAAGGCTGTGTTTGTATTTTTTTAGATTTTTTGGTTACAGAATTAACTTCTTGTGTGCAATTTTGTTTTAAATTTTTTATCCTTTACTGTTAAAGTTTAAAATTTTATAAATATTTAACTATAGAATAATTTGTAAATTTTCAATTTGGTTATTGTTGTCAAAATTTGAACTTTAAGTGCTTATAAAACAAAATAGTGTCTATTTATTTTTTTCTTTTTCAATTGATATTGTATTAATATATCAGGAGCTTTGTATTACATTTTCAGGATTTTTGACCCAATGAATAAAATTATATTGTCAACTATAATAATCGTCCGGTAGACATTTATATTTTTTAAAGGTCGATAAACTTATAAGGAGTCTTGTGTGAAATTTTTTAAATCTTAGATATACAATTTTTATGAATTTCTAACTCAAAATAAC